TGTTAGGGATAACATTGTTTACCCTAACTGGTTTGGGTAAAAATAATAAATAAGTTATCATGGTTTGTTGGTTAAAGTGTGTGTAACTTTAACTACAAGAATGTAATTAAGGGTGTGGTTGTAAAAGCATCATAAAAGAAGCAAGTCAATTGCAGCTCTCTCTCTCTGGCTTAATGATCCCTAATTACTGGATGGATTGATGACTGCGTTTTCCCTTACTGGAACGGAGGAGAGAAAGGAGTGTTGATTTCTCAACGGAGAGAAGAGATAATACGGACTGATTTATTGTAAGTGAACTGACATTGGCTATTCAACACGGACTTTGCAAATTGAGTATCCTCAACTGGACTGACTGAAATGATACATGACTAATGGACCGTTTATTTTGACTATGCTATAATTCCTAATGGAATAAACTATATTTTTGATAGCACAAGCGTATCTGTTTTTTACTGCGTGTTAACTAAAATACAAACTTATCTCACACATTTACCTGTCTGCCTATCTGACTACGCTACACATTCTGTTTAGTTTGTTTTCCTTAACACTCGTTGGGGAATTCAGGCTTAACAGAGGCCACACACTACTGAACCTCATTTTGACTTGTTTTAAGGACATTACATCAAAGTTGGATCAGCCTGTAGTGTTTTTTTTTCCACTTTAATTTTGAGTGTAACTCCAAATCCAGACCTCCATGGGTTGCTAAATTTGATTTCCATTGATAATTTTTGTGTGATTTTTGTTGTCAGCACATTCAACTGTAATGAATGAAGTATTTAATAAGAATATTTCATTCAAATCTAGGATGTCTTATTTTTGTGTTCCCTTTATTTTTTTTGAGCAGTGTATAATCAGAAGTGAATTTTGATGCTTTGGGAAAGGAGGTCAGCAAAGGATGTATCTTTTTGTCAGTGACCCACTGCTTCTGGTAGATAGAAGAAGCATTTCAAACTCTAGATTCAGCCCTTTGGGATTTACTGCTGAGTAGATTCAGGTGTAAATTGAATTATTCTTTCTTTGAATCTTCAATAGTATTACAGATTATTCCTTTTGACAATTGCAGATTTTGACCACTGACGTTCAGTATTATTCCTAAATGTGAAAATTGCCCTAAATCTCATTATATTGTTGGGATTTATATTTTGAGAGAGGTATTTTTAAAACATTACACTTAAAACTTTTTATTTTGGCAATCTATAGTATATGTACTTACCCAATAGTATCAACTACTAAAAATTGTGATCCCTAGTTTATGTGATTTTGGGAAAGACAAAAAAATTCTTGGAAGTTGGAAGGTGGGTGGTATGAAATCTGCAGCAAATATAAATATCTGTCTACTGAGTGTAATTTTGTTCTATATGTACTGCTTGGGCATCTTTCAGAATTGATTTAGATTTCATGCAAAAGCATGGACAGCATCCCTGCACACTTCATTGATAAGAGTTGATGTGATTTTTCATTCTTTTGTAATACAGTAATAGTTTAAGATTCTGTTTTCTCATCTTTCATGTTCATTCAGTTATCTCCTTTGTTTTGGCTTTGCATGTGCTAGTCTGTATTAGTGTACTGTACTTGCAAGTATATGAATTTTGGGTTGTGGAATGTATTGGATGTGTATGCATATGTGTATATATTAGTTACACACACACACACACACACCCTCTGAACCAGTTGCTTCCGTGGGCTGTTTTATATATTTGGTATTGGGGTCTAAATTGTATAATCATATATTTATTTTATATTTTGAAAAGTCTTAAAGGCAGCAGTAGTACAAAATCAAGTAAAAGTTTTTGGTCACTATTCCATTTTTATTGTAAATGGTATTTAACCTTTTATTATAGAAGCTGCACATCCTTGCTTTAAAATCTATCCGTAATATAATTGTTACTTAAACTGGTTTAATACTTTATATTTGAATAGGGAAAGCCATTTTGCACATTTCATAATATTTTATCATTGAAATGCATGCAGTGTTATTGTCCGTGCTTAGAAGCCGTTGTCCTACTGCCAATAAAGGTGTCTGTCGCAGAGGGCAGATAACATTTCAAATCTGAAAGGCTGCAGTTAGAACTAACATTTTCAAAGCAGAAACACTGGGCCATGTTAATGAATAATTTGCTTTTGACAACCAATCCTATTTAATGTTATTTAAGGTGTTGGGGAGTAATAAAAATAATGGGAGGGGGATAAACTTTTTTCTTGCTGCTTTTCTGATCTTTTCCCACATTAAGTCTAATTAATCTTATAATAGTTTTCATTTGTGTAGGCAAAATCCAGTTTCTCTAGAGGGAAATACTTTTATCAAAATTCTGCAATAAAATTTTGAACTCATTATGCAGCCTTTTGCACAGGTATCAAGTAATTGGATCATAGTTGCAAGTGAATCTCTACTGTAAATGGTCTGCAGATAGCTACAACATTCTTGTCTTCAGAAAAATAAAGGTAGCCACATAATTTTTTAAATTAACGGCATTTTTACTGACATTTCCATGAAGTATATGAAGGGATAGGGAGTATTTCATTTAAAAATCACATTTTGCTTTGTTTAATGTGACTATTGCTTTGATGCTGACCATTTGGTTATTGGTTATTCATATTAAGATATGAATCTTAATTTTTCAGCAGTATCTGAAAGTGAGCTGAATTTTAAGAAATATATGTGAAAACTAGACTTAAATTTTTTTCTTTCAATTTTGCAGGGATGAAATATAAAAGCTACAACATCTGATCCAAACATAGTGTTAACAGTGGACTGCTCATCTCCAATTCTTAAAAGCTTTTTCCAAACCAACAACATTGCAGCTTGTTTTGGACCGTGTTACACTGTTATCAGCATGGAAAAGTGGTGTTTTTTTTTTTAATTTTGTAGAGGTTTAATGCAAGTTTGATAATGGACTGATGGAAAAAAATTAAACCTGGGCAAATTGTTTCCTTTTAATATGCCCTTATTTTCATCTGTTAGTGATATATTTCTGCAGATAAGCAAATGTATCTGCAATTTACAATTCGGAAACTTTCTAACCATTTCAGCTCTAATGTTTGTTCATCAAACTGCTTACCTGCACTTTCTTATGCTATCTGCACACTTAAGATTTGTGTTCAGCTGACTCCTAGATCCTACTAAAATGAGATGAATTTTTTCAAAGCTATCAACGTGGTATTTATAGACTAGCATGTAGCATATACAATCAGCAGCTTTTCTTCTCATTCAGGAAATCAGACATGTATATCCATTTGGAAGCATCAACAAGAATAACATTTATTTTATGTCACTGTTCAGGATGGACATAACTAACATAGTTCTTTCCTTGTAGCATAGCTAAGAAATTCATAGCTGAGTATTATTTCTAGATGATTTACAGACTTGAAGTACCTTGAGTGTAATATAACAATTACTGTGTAAGTTATGTCCTAATCATTGAACAGTTCACAGTACTGCTTTGCCAAATAAAATCAAAAACAAAAAGGTGTGGCAAATAATGTTTTCAATAGAGATCTCTTGGGTAGTTGAGAGGTTGCTAAAATATTTCTACCAATAATTCACTTTCCCCTATATAGAAGTCATCTTGCATTGGAAAAACTGTACTGATCAACCAGCTTCAGAGTTTCTGAAGTGTCCCAGAAAACAGCTAAAAATATTACAAAGACTAAATAATCCAACCCCACTAACCTTTAACAGATTCTGGGAAAGAACCATGTGCTTTAAATTCAACTGTTATTCCATATGATAGCAATGTCAATTACATTGATGAATAAGCCTATACATTTCTATAACAACTTCTGAAGTCTATTTTGTTCAGTGAAAAATGAATATACACACTCATGATACAAGGAAAGCCCAATGATTCTGATTTTAAAAAGCAATTCAAATTTAAGTCATCTTCATAGCAATTAGATGCCATTTGAAAAAATGTGTGAATACACCAAATATTTCAATTTGTTAATCCTGAATCTCTGATGATCTACTTGGGAAGCCATTTTAGGTATTGCTTTGAACAAAATAATTTATTTGGGATTTGTTTTGGACAAAATAATTTATTTGGGATTTGACTAGAATAACTTTGAGAAAAAGGAAGCTTTTAAAAAAAACAAAAAAAAAAACCTTAACCCAAAGTCTTCTGAAAGAGATGCAAATTTTGCTCTTTCCCTAATTGAATAAAAACAACTATTCTCCCTCATTTTCTTTATCACCAATTAGAGTCACAAAAACATATTTTATTTAAATAACTCAATGACCTTCTATAAATAATTTTATACATTTAATTTATAATAGTTGTTTAACAGTTAATTTGTACTCCGCAACTAATTTATGAAGCCATGTAACATTTATAGTCAAATATATAGGGTAGTAAAAAGTTACATGAAATACTTTGGGTGTAGCATCCATTCTTTAATTTTCTAGAACTACTACTGCATATAATGAATTAACCCTAATTAAATAAATATTTTATAATTACAGAGGAGTCAGCTTTAAAATGTTACTTGAATTATTGAAATCCTGACTTCATATGGCCTTTATAAAACATGAGCTAATGCAGGTTTAGGGAAATAGCTAGGTTTAAGCATTATAAACACAGATTTTAAATTTAAAAGAGTTCAGGTTACACAGTTCTGGGAAGAAATCTAATGCCAGTCAGAAATAAAAAGCTAAAAAAAGGGGTGGAAATAACTAATCGTTTTGCGGATAATATGAATCATTGTGGAGAATGTTGAAATCTGGAGATGAATATACTGGCATTATTATGTCTGTAAGAACTGCTCTTCATGTTTTGGTGTTTAAATCCTCAGCTTTCAATTAGTGGCACATATAAAGCATCAGAAAACAGAAGAGGATGGACTGTTCATTATATATAGTCCTAAGTTCTTTTGGGTTATATGTGAAAATAGAAAAAAATACTTTTAGACAAGCCAGTCTTCATTATGTATTATTTTTCTGCTTTAGGTCTATTTAAATTGACTTAAAAGAGCTGTAGTTTTAATCAGTGTTTCACAGTGTGTAATGACTCTTTATTTTCCTACTGTTCTACAAAATGATTGGTGCACAGTGCAGCATAATGACAAAGTATTGTATTGAATGTAGGGAGGACTGACATAGGGAAGGACAGCGAGTCTTAGTACTGAAATGGAGGATGTCTTTGAAAAAAACAAACTGGGATGATATATTAAGCGGCAAACAACGTGTTGTTATGGATCATAAAAATAGAAGATTTTATCTTACAATTCTAGCTTTTTCATGTTAGGTTTTAATGAAAAACCTGACTAAGCATGTCAGAATATTTTTTGATGATTCTGTTACTCCATTTTATTCAAATACCTCTCTATTCATGCTCCAGTCCACTGGAGATGAATTAGGAAGCACATATTTTGTATTACTTAAGAAAAGATACTGCTTTTAGAACTAAACAGCACATTGGATCTGAGGAGGAAAAAGCACATAAAGGCATTTATGTGTTGACAATTTTTTAAAAAGCTGTGACTTTTCCTGGAACTGTACAATTGTCCTTCATAACTGCAATCCTGGGAAAAGACACATTTAGTTTAATGTGTTGTGAACAAGTGTTGAGGCTTGTGCACACTTACATGTTTTTTCCCTTTGAATCTGAAATGCTTTACAACCCTAATTATTTAGGAAGTAGCTGTCATGTTTAATGTTGTCTTTATCTCTAAATCCAGATGAATCAGCTGACATACGTTTGGTGAAGAGGAAAGATAGCTTACAAAAACTGATACACAGAAGTACTTTGCAATATATGTTTAAGCCAAGGCATACTTTTAGTCCTTAAGACAATTGGATGAACTTTTTAATTGATGATAACTTAAAGCTTTATGAAAAGTTTATTAATTGAAACTGCAAGAAGTTGCTAAATTTCTGTGTGACAGTTAACAGAATCCTGAACTTTTAATATGAGTATTAAAAACTTCAGGCATATTGTTTTTTTATTGATAGAAGCAATACTCCCTACAACTGAATAATTACAAAACAGTTTCAGCTCCTTATCTAAATGTTAGGCTTTTGGAATTTAGTATTTAAAGGAACCTTTCAAAATAGAGCATCTTTCCCCTGTTATGCGCTATTTGCCCTTAGCAATCTGAGATTCTATTGCCAATACAGGCCTGGTCTACTTACCATATATATTTCAATGGAAAAGGTAAATATCCATATAGAATGGCAAGCAAGAAATGTTTTAAAACAAGAAAGCGGGTAAACAAAAGATTTCTGATTTAGCTATTTCAACATTTGAAATTATATAAACTAAATGAGTAGATAAACTTGAGTGGGTTTTTTTTATTAACTTATTTGAAATGATGGCTAAATTGTACTGCTCATTTATTGATGGCTTATTTGTACTGCTACTTTTAATTAGGAATGTGCAGCGCTTCAGGTTCAATTCCAATAAGGTGCTTTGGAGTAAGCAAAAGCATTGAATAAAGGATTTATCTGCAACTCTTTAAAACATGCATGCTTCCTTTGCAGCTTCCCATAAGCTTACATATAGCTGCTTTAAAGAATTGTGGACGCATACAGTGCTTAATTCACATGCCTGTGTACTCTGAAGATTAGAGTTACAGATATTCTTAAAGTGTTTTGAAAAGGCAGAAATGAAAATAGAAAAGATTGGAAAGCTGTAAGGAGAAAGAAATATAAGCCTAAGGTTATATTTATCTCCAACATTGGAAGATTAAAATAGAGTAGCTAATTTAAGTAATACAGTGAAACTGTCGTGCCTTCCTCAGAGGTAAAGGAGAAACTAAAATTGGTGCTCCACTGCAAACAAAAGATTTCCAGTGCATAATTTGAGACTGCAGTTTTCATAGATGATCTAGTACTGTCTGATTACAATCGAGCAGAACCTGGCTGCACTGAGGAACAAGGCAAAGTACTGTGGATGTCAGAACGGTCATGTGACATAATGAGAACTGTATGCCTGATTTCCTAGTTCATTAAGAGGAATGGGTTACTTCATAGCCATTCAATAGAAGTCAAAATGATTTTTCAGGTGTAATGACATCGCACACAGGATGCAAATTGTGTCATTTTTATCACGCAACATGTTATATGTGATGCACAGTACATCATTTCCATCATGTAATCTCTCTTGCATCCCCTGACCCCAACCTGTGGAAACCAATAGAATGCTTTTAGGTGTATAGTGTCTGCCTGCATTCATTGTAGAAAAGGAAGCTGAAGCATGAATTCCAAGTCTCCATTTATATATTCCAAGTGCAATTTTTCATGGGAAAATACTTTGACTAGATCATAATGTCACATTAAAAGAAAAGCGAGCTCTACAAGTTTGGAAAGTAATTCCCTATAATGAGTCAAAGCTCTAACAAAAATACATATTTGGATTAGATGTGACTGCTGTGTCGGTATCTGCTGTGATGTGGACCACTGCAACAGGACATCATGCTATTGCCAGGAGCATGGATCAACCACTAGCTTCCAGTGTTTCAAATTGGATTTTATCACCACACAAAATTAGTTCGCAAAACAGAGATGGCTAAAGAGTGCAAAGAGAGGATAAGTTTAAAAGAAAATCTTTTGTACGCTAAAAGTATTTTAAGCTGTAGTGGCATTGCACTTGTTCACCAGTAATATGATTTTGTTTTGGTGGGATTGCAACAGATAAATTGCATTAGCTCATACCTCCATCATAGGCTATTCTTAAAATTATTCCATTCTAGAGCCTCTTGTTGGCTTGGGGATGAAAAGCATTGTAGATCAAAATACCTGGAGGACACCATGTTGGTGAAAGATACCACATGCCATTACCACTGTACATCAGTATTTTTTAACCTTGGCATTTGACTAGATGTCAACTCCTGGAATTCCATGCTGGTTGGGAAACTCCAGGAGTTGAAATCCACACATCTTCCAAGTTACCAAATTTGAAAATCAAATGGTGTTCATCTGTCAGGCCTTGAAAGAAAATTTTGGGGAAACGGCTGATTTTGGTAACACAGTTTATGAGATGCAAGAGGCACACTTTTGTGAGAAAGCTTGATAGCAAAAAAGAGTATCTTGAATCTTGCTCTAGAGATACATTCCATTTATGAGGTAATCTGACTCCTCAGATGTAGTGGGGCGCGCTTTCTTTAATTTCTGCCGGACTAAACGCAAACGGCAAGTGACCATGAGCAGCAGCAAAGCAGTGATGGCTAACCCCAAAGCCAGTGGAAGTACAGCACCTAAAAAGAGTAAGAAGCAAAATACTAAGTAGGCAGCCAATCCATAGATAAGGCAGAAGCATCATATTAGCCAAATAAATAATTTACCTTCCTGAGGATTTCCCAAAACAGAACCACTTAAGGGGAGATGAGTATATCTGTTCTATCAGGACATAGTCATGAGGGAGATATAATAATACATTCCAATAGTTCATACACTGTGGATGATGCCTTTTGTTCCGTGGTGATTCACTATATATTTTTGTATATTTTCTCGACACAGAATAAATCAGTTGGAAAAAATCCCCACATCTTTACCTGTTTCTGGGACTGGAAGGCTCTTTTCAATCTGAGTTCTCTTCAAGCTCACAATACCATTGTCATTCTTATCTGTGTCTTTCCCTGAGATTCTAAAATCTACAAAAAACAAAACAATGCATTATCAATATATATCTCAGCAGTACATGGGTGTCAAACTTGATTGTGTCACGTGACGTATCATGACATATTATGACTTTTTTGCCTTTGCGGAGCCGAGGTGGGCATGGCCTGCATGTGATACATCAAGCCCACAGACCGCCAGTTTGATACTCCTGTGAGTAGCACATAAATTACATCACAACAGTCAAGTGTGCTTTAAGAACTATGACTTACACTAGGTACTGTAATAAAATTAGAAACATCTTTATTTGTGGACTACCATATTTGCACTCTGAGACCCTCTTCCGGATGAGATTTTAACATAACTAAATGATCCTTTTTGCATTGCCCAATTGACTGGATCATGGTGCTTTTAACTAACTTGACTTGCTTGGGGCTAAGCTAAATCCCTCCATTTGACATGAATTATTTATTGGGAAATTACTTGATGCTCACTTCTGAGACTAGGATGTCACCAACATGAAAAAGGCAGAGTTAGGTGTGAATTAAGAACCTCCATCTGACTGTCTATTGTAGCAGTGACTCTGGATGCACCACTTTTTTTTAATAAAATATTTTCCTTCAGAAAAGTTGGGGGATGTAAAATAACTGGTAGGGTGTGGCAGGACAGCTTCTTTAACAGTAGTTGAAAGGAATTTAAAAATGGCTATTGAGAGATAGACACAGAAATCTTAGAATAAATTGTGCCAACGCACAAAGTTGAAACAGTTAACAGGAAAAAAAGGTTGTTCTTAAGAATACAGTCACAAAAGCAGAGACTTAGTTTTACTAGATGCAGCTGAGCTTCTGCCACATACCTTGGTTTAGGTACGGTTCACTAAATTGTATAGTTTATATATTCAGCCCTAAAGCAATGATTATATTACAATTTAACATGTGAAATCTAGCCTAGAGCAACTGTCTTGATTACAGTGCTTTGATAGGGAGGCTTCAAAGTGACGTTTTCAAAATGAAGAGAACAGCACAATTTGGTTTAGTCAATAAACTTGACCAATAAGTTTGGAGAAGTAGTTCCACTTAAGAATGATTGCTGACTGCTCTACAAATTCTTTTTCTGTTCTTAGAGTTTGGAAATTGGAAATACTGAAAAATGTTCACCTTAGACAAAGTAACTGACAAGGGCCCAGAGAAGTGAGATGACCCTTTGCAAGCTAGGAATGTTAAATGATAAAATTTTAAAGTTGGCAAAAACTGCCAAGCCCATGTAGATAAAGTACAAAAAAAAAATCAGTATTCGATGCCATTCCAATATTTACATGCCATGCAAATCTATCCATTATTATGATAGATTTTATGCAGACAGATCTGCACTTTAGCAGACTGCAAAGAGATGACATTCTTAAGCTTTTTACCAAATTTTTCTCCATCAATAGAAGGATTGCTAAAACACAGTTCAGATTACAGTGTTATGCCATGTTATGTTGTGCCACTTCCCTACCCCAAAAGGTGATTATTACCATGAACTTTTACACATTCAGCAAGACAATCAGATTCTTGAAGAAAGTTGTTTTCATTGCCTTTGCAACCACCATAGATGAAATGCATGCAAGTGCCTGAAAAAGCATCAAAATGCCAGCGAGAGAGGTGTCTGTTGCACGAACCAGTGGCTAGGGGGAGCAAGCACTGCTCTGTAATTGTAAGAGGAAAAATAGATTAACTCCAAATCCTTGTAATTACCCTTAATATATGAAAATCAGACAGCAGTTAGGTTTTGTAATGTATTTGGAATACATTACCGTAATTTAAGCAAAGGCTATAGCAGGATTCAGAATCTTGCCCTTATCCCTTTTGTTGACACAGTTCCCAAAATGCATGTTGTTTCCCCCTACCGGTGAATTTAACAGAATCCAACACCTGGAACTGTCTAGCTATTTCTATTCACTTCATTCCCTGTTCTTCGTACTGAAGATGTTGCTTCCCTATATAAGGCATTTATCCCTTGTATATTCCAGTCAACCAATCCTGAGGCTATCACACCGTGGAAGCACAGTGGGAAGGGTGAGATGATGACAATTTGTTCATAAGTAGTCTAATGACAGAATGTCCCCACAGTTCTCCCTTGAGTGAAGGGAAGTTTGAATAAATGATAGAACATTATGCTTGTGTGTCGCATGGCATTATGTGCTGTTACTATTCCATAATAGTAATTTATCTTCAAATATAACAAGCTAGGGAGATTACAAATAGTCCTCAACTTATAACCACAATTGAGCCCAAAATTTCTGTTGGTAAACGAGACAGTCGTTAAGTAAATTTTGCCCCTTTTTGCCTCAGTTAAGTGAATCACTGAAGTTAAGTAGTAACATGATTGTTAAGTGAATCTGCCTTCTCCATTGACTTTGCTTGTCAAAAGGTTGCAAAAAGTAATCACTTGACCCCAGGACACTGCAACCGTCATAAATATGAATCAGCTGCCAAGCATCTGTACTTTGATCACATGACTATGGGGATGCTGCAACATTCATAAGTGTGAAAAATGGCAGTGAGTCCATTTTTTCAGTGCTGTTATAACTTTGAACAATCGTTAAACGAATTGTTGTAATTCAAGGACTACCTCTGCTGATTCCATCCAAGAAGGAATATTCTACTAGGAGAAAACACTTCTGCTCATATGAAATGAAGCCTCTCATTTTCAGAAATTCCATCCTGTGTTCTCTCAGGCAATATTTGCTCAATCTCAATTTTAATTTTCAGGAGCAGCTTTGCAGAGGCAAAAGGGCTGCGATGAGTAGGAGGAAACCACATAAGCGCATGAAAGCGTGCTCCAATAATACAAGAATAGCACTGAATATAGCTCTCTCTATTTTTTTTTTCAGTCTGTGCAAAATATCTAGAGGAAAACACTGATTAATACATTGGTGTTTTTGAGATACATATGTAAATTATGCTCTATCTTCTGCCCATCTATACCCAACCTTGACTGTATACTCATCAAATTATGGAAATTACCTGTTTTCCCAAAGCTGTAGCTGAATTAATTGCATGCATTTCTTTAACAGATTTCTATAGTCAACTCAAGGAACAATTGTGAAAATTAAACCTTAAATTTTTTTGAGGGTCAGCTTATCTACAAGTGGCACATTTTTCATGGCATTTTGGTTAAAAATTTAAGGGTCAGCTTATTCTGTGGATAGACTTATACATGACTATATACAATTATTCCACATTTGAGCAAAAATAAACTTAACTTTGTAAGTAAGCCCATTTACTAATATACTCTTTTAACACTTTAATGCATTAATGTATATATTCATACATCATATGAATCTTTTGACTGCAGTGCCCAGGAGATTGTAATAACATTTTGCCAATTCATAGGACTGTAGAAAAAAACAATTTATTCAAAATATAAAGGTGGAGGTAGTCGATCGAGTTAACAACAGATCCCACCTCTCCCCCATTCTCCCCCACTCTCCCTTGTCCTCCCCACATGTCCTTAGATTTTAATCTTTGGTTTAAATTTATTTATGTTTTAATGTAGATATATTTTTATGACTGTAATCGAACCAAAGTTACCTTATGGTAACATGGGCAGCCAATACATTTTATCAATCAATCAATCAATCAATCATATTGTTAATCTTACCTGGTATAAACCCTGTAACGTGTTTCTGTAGTCCCTGAGAGGGTGATTGTTTGATTTTCTCTGGTTCAAGTACTTGACTGCTTAGTGTACTTGTCTGGGTGATTTCAAATGTAAGATCCTTGTTGGCTTTTTTCATTAATTCAACTGAATTTTGTTGAATAGTGTCTATGTGAGTTATTGCATTCTGTCCTGAATTATCTGAGTGTAAAAAGAAAACACAAGAACATAAGGAAAGTCCAATTGGATTAGGCCAAAATCCAACTTAATTCATTGTTTAGCTTCTCATCAACCAGATACCACTGAGATGAGATAAAGTAAATGAAGGTCACATCAGTTTGTGAGGGACTATCTTCATTTTCTCACTCAAAATATCCTTTCATCCCTTCCTGTTCAAAAATCCATTCTACATACCTGCCACCATTTTATTTTATTTTGTAGATCCAAAGCGCCTGGACTGCAACAATCTAGCCAACTGCTAGAAGATAGCATAATGATAGTCAAACCCCCAGATCTTTGCTAGCATCTACTGGCCAGTTGGAAACTTGCAGTGTAAGTATGGTAGCTATACGTTACACAATTAACTTTGCTGAAAACATGGGGGCCAAGAAAGAGCAAGGGGGACAGATGAGGCCTCCTGTGTTTGCAGGACCCAAGGCAAGTGTATCCTTTTTAAGCTGCTGGTGTGTCTAGATCACTGTTTCTCAACCTGTGGCAACTTGAAAATGTGTGGACGTCAACTCCCAGAATTCCCAACCAGCATGGGTGGGGGAAGTCAATACATCTTCAAGCTGCTAAAGCTGAGAAACACTGGCCTAGACTCAATCAATACTGATATTAGTGTGCAAATGGTAGCATTGAAAAAAAAGGAAATGTTGCTTAACTGGGTTTTTGTCTCTTCTACATGTTTTCTTTTCTTTTCAAATATTAAAAGGTACTGCTAGTCTATATGCTACCAATGGAGTGACTGTGTGCTTACTTTTCTTGGAAGAAAATTAGGAAAACTTCTGGCATGTTCAGAGATATGCAAAACGTTTGACTATGGCTTTAAATCATGCTTGTACCACAAGCTCAGTGATGATGGTTCTTTAGCTTTTTCATAGGAGCCGTGATGCCACCGTGGTTAGAATGCACTATTGCAGGCTAACACACTGCTCACAGCCAGGGGTTTGATGTTCTCCAACTCAAGATGGACACAGACTTCCATCCTTCCAAGGTTAGTAAAATGAGGACCCAGATTGTCCCAAAGGTTCTTTTTCAGGAGGCAACTTGAAAAACTGGTCCAGAAAGTCCAGTTGCCTCTTGAAAAAGCACCTTTAGGACAACCATGACCTGGATGACTGAGAATCTCCATAGACATTTAGAGGACGCAGATTGTTGTGGGCAATATGCTGATTCCGTAAACCGCCTCGAAAGGACTGTAAAACACATGAAGCAGTATATAAATCTAAGTGCTATTGCTATTTTCCTCACCCTAAGACTCAAACGCAGGATTTCAAATCTACACGCCTTCCCTCATTATTGAGCTATTATTATTGTTGAGCTATTTTTTAATGCTTAAATGGACAGGTTCACTCACATTTATGGCAAAAAGCTTCATCTGACCCATCAGGGCAGTGGTTCTCTCCATCACAAGCATAAGTGATGTCAATGCAGCAGCCGTCATCACAGAGGAACTGGTATCGGGAACATTTGCCAATGCAACCTGCAGTAGGTCAATTCTCAGATTAGAAGACAAATTAATTTGCAAAAATCTAAGAAGCAGCTGTTTAAAATGGATATTGAAACAGTGGAAGCCCCCCTGTTAAGCATCCTTTCATCCTTTCCTAACCCTATGAATATTTCAGGTAGAAGAATAAGGCAAAACCATTCAACAAATGGTATCTCTGGACAAGGGGGGAAAAAAGCAACTATCCAGTTAAACCAAATTCTGCCCGCTTTACAAATTCAGCATACATAGGACATAAACTGTATTCTACTTGCTGAGCTGAGAAGCTGCTGCTTTGAGCTGATTGCTCGTAATTATTGCATTTTATATGATATGACCTTCATTACATTTATTTATTGGATTTATATCCTGCCTGTTGTTTCAAAGCTGAAGGTAGCATATGTAGCCCTCCCATTTCTTTCTATTTCCCCCTACATTGTATATATGTGTCCTCTACATATGCATTTATTTCACAAAGTGATTTTGTGAAGTCTGGAGGAATTATGAATATTTAACAATAGAGATTACACCTGCTCCCCATTTAGCAATTATCTCAGCTAACAACCATTTTCACACGTAATTATAATCAATGGTAATAAAAATCATTTTCCAACCAATATATGCCCTTATGACCAAATTTTGGGTATCTAACAGCAGTACATGCTGAAGTGAGAGTAATGCTGGTGTAGCCGTGTAAGAGAACCATCTGAATGAGATGACAGCAACCAATGATTTTGCATTCTCCCTCCCTCCCTCCCTTCCCCACCTCATGTGTTCACTTAAGAATCATTTTATTTTGCTCAATACTTAACTTTCCTGGAAGTTGGAATGGGGCTCAGTTGCTAAGGTCTATATGTAGGTCTATATGTAGCTCATGGCTGAATTTTGGAATTCTTGGTATTCTCTGAGCTTGGTTTGCTTTGTGCAACTCTTTCATTATCTGGTTAGGAGTGAGCTTTGTTGTCTGTTTAGATATAGTAGTCTGAACTGCCAGCCTTGTTGGATTTGGGCAGGATGTGATCATTAGTGGTATTGTTCTTCTTTCATTGCTGCTTAGTGCGATGATTAGATATTGGTTCCTCCTTCCCTGGCTGCTGGTATGTTGATAAGAGAGGAAGTGCTCAGCAACGTTTGTTCCTCTTTTGGCCTATGGTTAGTCCTTTTGAATGCTTCATAAATGGGGGTAGTAGTCCTCAACTTACAACCATACTTAAGCCCAATGTTGAGACAGTTAAGTGAGTTTTGCCCCATTTTACAACCTTTCTTGCCACAGTTGTTAAGTGAATCATTATAGTTGTTATGTTAGTAATCCAGTTAAGTGAATCTGGCTTCCCCATTAGCTTTGCTCGTCAGAAGGTTGTAAAAGATGATCACATGACCCTGGGACATGGCACATAAATATGAGTCAGGTGTCAAGCATCTGAACGTTGATCACGTGACTTTGGAGATGCTGCAATGGTTGTGTGAAAAGTGCTCATAAGTCATCACTAAACAAACTGTTGTAAGTCAAGGACCACTTGTGTGTCTGTTGACAGATCATCTGTCAGAATATCAAGCTTGTAATTATCTTTATAAGCATCAGGGGCAACCTAGAATATCTCCCAGAAACTGGTATCTTAGGAGACCAGATTCCTTTCAGTAATTCTCTTGAATTTTTGGTGTAGCTCAGTCTCACTCATGCAACCCAAAATAAATCTTTAGATTATTTAAATCGAGCTCCTGAATAAAAGTGGAGAACATCATTCTGATAAATAAATAATAGGAGAAAGAAGGGTCAGGAGAGCAAGGATACTTCCCAGCAATGGTTGCTATGGTGATTAGAATGTTGGGGGGGGAAATACAGCTGAGCTGGAGAGGTTGTAAAAATCTGGAGGGAAAGAAAGGGAAAATGGAGCAAAGTTGAGAAGCTAAAAAGCAATGAGCCAGGCCCAGGGTGCAACAATGGAGTCCTTCTCCAAAGACTAGGCTGGTAGAGACAGGAGGGCTGTGGGGAGAAGGGAGATGCAGTATCTGCAGGAAAGATAGACTGTGGTATCCTCTGACCTTGGCACCTTGTAAGTCATGCATCTGGTCCCCAACATCTGAATCTGACTGTTGGTTATGACTCAAGGATGAGATGGTACCTACTGGAATTGGTTATATACTTGGAGAGATGCAGAAGTAGGTGGTAAAAGCTTGTGAGCCTTTCAAGGTACTCCAAAGAAGAAACTAACTCTACCTTGTCAGAGTACATTCATTAACTGGCAGAGACACGTTTAACAAAGTCAGCAAGTGAGTAAGCATGGCAAAGACCAGCCAATGGGAGCTGACAGCCTGGGTGTGTTTGGCTCTGTGTGCTTTGCTGAGAACTGAAAGTGAAATTAGTCTTGCTTGCTTGCTGAAACTGATATCTGCTCTGAGCTGCGGCTGCTTGTGTTTTTGCTTATGTTACGTTGAAAGAATCTACAAATGGTATTGTAAACTTTACTCATATTATTATGTTTATAAAGAAGTTAATGATCCTGCTGAATCGGTCACCTGTGTGTTTTCTGGACTTGAATTTCTGCTGCAAACTCTAACACCTTTCTTGTAAGGGTCTAATAATAGAATATTGCAAGTCTGAAAGAACTTCTCCTCTCCCACACCTTTACTTTCCAGGAACTAAGGAGGGTCCCTTCTGAGACACTTTCTACACTCCCATTCTTTCTGTGGGCTGAGATGTCTCTTATCTCACCACTCCCCTGGTTCCAGCTCTTCTGCCTTCTGTCTTTCAAGGATATTTCTCCTGACATTTCAAAGCCAGCACATGCTAAGGTATTGGACTAAAAATAGCCAGATCCTTATTCAAGTCCACTCTCAACCATGGTTACTCACTAGGTCACTTTGGATGGTTCTTTTGCTAGCTCCCAAATCCCAATCTACGATTGCTTGTAGGGAAAAAAAATGGAGGACTATGCCATCAAGTTCTCTAGGAGCTCATTTAAGACGGGATTGAAATGTAGGAATTATGGACAAAGTTGGCACACAGGATGAGTGCTGGAACAAATGCTTTGCATATTTGTTATTTTTATTTTCTGTTTGTAGATTGTGCCCAGATGTCATCTTGTTTTTGGCTGGCATTGGTTTTCATGTTACTATTTGTAAACCACCCAGAGCCAATTTGAGTAAATACCATATGGGACTCATTTAACTAGATGATTGGAGCAATTGTGCATTATGTAAAAAGGAATGAAGCATTCTTGGTATTGTATATAGAAGGAAAAACTACTTTCTTATGAGATAAAGTTGTTTAAATGTGTTGCTCAATTTCAAGATCTCTGCCCGGGTTAGTATTGTGTTAGTATTGTAGGTCCTGCTATAGTGGGATATATAATGGCAAAATTTGCCACATAGAATGGCAAAATTATGACTTAGAGACTACATCTGTAATACAGTTTACTAGAATGCATGCCAGGAGAGCCAAATGAAAAAAAGAACAAGCTTTTGCAGTGTTTTTCAACCTTGGCAATTAGAAATTCTGGGAGTTCAAGTCCACACATCTTAAAGTTGCCAAGAGTTAAAAAGCACTGGTGTAGAAGGAAATGTGGAGGATATTGTACATTGTGGAAATTGCCTCTTTAATGTAGTTTAAACTATAAAGACCTGTACCCTATTTACAATGTATTTAAAGCACGTTCTGTTGTGATTTTAATTACAGCAATACACAGTCTTTCTCTCAACTTTACCACAGAACAAGAAAACAGTTATTTCAGCAGTTTTCTCACCTAATTCAGAATGAATCATTGGAAGTACCGTCACTGAGACGTTATCTGAACTCCTTTGGCCAGCTGTGTCAGTCACGGTCAGCTGTAGTGTGTATTTCCCTTCTGCCATATGAGAGAGCTTCAGTGTTCCTGGCTGAGGTACCTGAGCCAAATAAAATAGGGCATTGATTGAATCCCATCCTTCATACTGTAGCTACCAAGGTACAACTCTCATACAATCATGACATGCACACACACGCATACATACACACACACACACACACACACACATTCTATCATATACATAGGAGAGTGTAAATGTAAAGGCATCATGCCTTTTTATTCCTACCTAGGTTGCCTGAGCACAGGTAAAGCAAGTCCAGAAAAGTCTAGGATTTATTGGTAACATGGATACTGGAAACAAATATAGCGATCCTTTGTAAGTCCCCCCCCCCCCCCCCGAATCACATTGGATCAATGCTCTCTTTCATTTCAAGATGGTGTAGCAAAAAAATACAGATTTGAGAAAGTGCACATTTCAGTGCAGTGCTATCATAAAAGAGCAAAGTGTTTGAAATTCTCCAGGACTGCTGCTGTCATGTCATTAGTTTTAAATCTTAAAACTGATCTTAAAATATAAAGAGGAAATTCACATTTTACATCTCAAGTCAGTGAATCAGTCAGCTTTCTCAAGTAGCAGAGAGCCGGAAGTTATTCTTTCAAGCCCCCAAGACATTTTCACAATGAAGAACACTGTAAGCCACAAGTCCACATCTCAGGTATGATGGAAGATAAAATGATTTAGTAATGAAATATGTTTCACTTGCCAGTCTTGTCAACTGGAGGGAAGCAGCATCATTTTATTTTTGGCTCAGAAACAAACCTCACTTAAATTATCATCTTCACAAAAGAAGAAAATAAAAGGAGTTTGTGTGCTTGGGTGGGTACATAGAGGATACACAAATGGATGGGAACCCCATGAAGCAGGAGTCCATATAATCAGGCATCTGATATCTGGTACAGAAAAGCCATTTCTTCACAGCTTTTATCACTGATTCTATTCTGATTCTTTTATCATAGATTCTATGCTGTTGTTTCTAGAATTTTTTTTAGATCTGAGAATTCAGTTTAGCTAACAATGCAAGCTCTGTGTATGCAATTCTCACTGCTTATCGTTCAACTAAACCAATCTTCCTCTCCTACAGATCCCCACATCCATCTTCCCTTGTCACAAGGAGTAACTTCAACTATGCTGCATAGTTGTGCATCAGATTGAAGCATTAGAATCTTAGCACCTCACTGGGTTGCCTGTGAAGAAGAGCACTCTTATAGCTATTGAGAGAGAAGCGGCAGGGAAATCTTTGCAGGCTTACTGTAGGAAAAACAAGTTCCACTAAAAGGATTATTACAGAAAGAAATGTATTATTTTCTTCCTGTTATGATTAAATCACAAAACTGTATTGTTTCTTCTACAGGGGATGGATCAGTGGTGGGAGTCAATTTTTTTTACTACCGGTTCTGTGGGCGTGGCTTCGTGGCGTGGCAGGGGAAGGATACTGTAAAATCTCCATTCTCCCCCCACTCCTGGGGGAAAGTTACTGCCAAATCCCCATTCCCTCGCCACCCCACTAGCCTGCTTTCCAGCTCCGTTCTCCTGTGCAGGGCAACAAAAGAAGACCCAGAGATCAGCTGGGACTCGGGAGGCAGAGAATAGATGGGGGCGGGGCCAGTCAGAGGTGGGATTTGCCGGTTCTCCGAACTACTCAAAATTTCCGCTACCAGTTCTCCAGAACCGGTCAGAACCTGCTGAATACCACCTCTGGGATGGATCTATTCCAACATTTCTCAACCTTAGCAATTTTTAAGACATGTGGACTACAACTCCCAGAATTCCCCAGCCAGCCTTGGAGTTGTACTTCACATTTCTTAAAATTGCCAAGGTTGAGAAACCCTGATCTATTCTGTCAGTTTTCAATAGCAGGTGGCAGCCATGGCTCAGAAGGCCTTTGCACAGCTACAATTATACTGTACCCACTTTGGATCAGGAGGCCCTGTTCATAATCACTGATGCCTTGATCACCTCTTGGATTATAGCAATGTGCTGTATTGTGAAGTTGTCTCTGAAGACCAGTTGGAAGCTGTAGCTGGTCCACAGAATGCAGCATTATCGATAGTTATGGGTATCTCAGTATGCCCACTTAATGTCTACTTTGTGAGCTACACTGCTTATCAGTATGCTCAGGGGTACACATTAAGATGTTGGTTCTCATGTATAAAACTGTTCATGGTGCAGGGCCATGTTATTTGTGCAACTGTTACCTCTAATTACTTCAGTCTGTCAGATCTTGCAGTCTTGGCATGCCTGTCACTTAGACAGTGTCGTCTGGCAGAAGGTAGAGGATGGGCCTTCTTAGTTGCCACTCTTGTCCTTTGGGACAGCATCCCCATAGGATATGGGTGGCCTTACCCTGCCTGCTTTTCAAAAACCATTACTAACTTGGCTCTTTCCCCAGGTACTGAGTCAGATATGCTCCCATTGGTGGAAGCTTTTCCAAGCATTTTATGTCCTGTTGGGTTTCTGATTATTTGTTCATTTGTGTGGTTTTTATATGCACTCAGTTTTGATTTGTTTATTGCTGATGTGCTACTCTGAATCATCTGCTGAGACGACAGCTATATAAACCATATAAATAAATAAATAAAACTAACAAAATAAAATGTCATTTGTGTTGGCATAAGGCACACTAAAACAATACAAGTTGTCTTTATTCTAGCCCGCTGTCCCTGACCTAAATGCTGTAGGTCTTTCCAAAAGGCACTGTGATATGTTTAGTTTCTCTTTATATACCACTGCTTACTCAGAATTGAGGTGACTTGAACAAAGCATCTATATTTTATCTTGTTCAAACATACAGTTCTATTCACCATTGTGAGCTGAAGAATAGAAAATTAACTCATTAACATCAACATTACAGTGAACAAATATAATCAGTAACTGACCCCAATTATGTTAACAATAACTGCAATCAGGCTTTATGTGTTGGCTTCTAGGAGCCAACCACTCTCTGTATTAGAGGTGACCATGATGACTAAAGCTGCGAAGACCTCTTTCCTTTATATGCAGGAGTCACAACGTATCTTTTGTGTCACATCTGATGGGAAAGGCAGATGTCATTGGGGTAAGGTGCTCCCTCAAATAACCTGGTCCTTTTGCCATGTGGAAGATTGCTCATAATTTTTACCAATTCAGTTTTCCTTGTAAATATCCCTTTTTTTTAAAAAAATTCAAGCCACCCATTATAATGAGGTTACTTTTTCCACACTTTCTCTTACTTTATAGTCTCTCTTTTAAATTGGGGAATAAAATGGATATTCATGATCAAGATCAATTTGCAGTCATTCATACAGTAGCTTCAGTTAATGTATGCTTATATCCAGCAGGTCTAAAACTTTTAATGTAACTTAAGCAAACTGAAGGTCTGGGGAAAAATCTGCTAAATTTAAAGTGAAATAGTCTTATTTATGTTTGGGGTTTGCTATTTGATTTTTTTTTCCATATAGCAATCTAATTTGCAAGATACACCAATAAACGAGCCAAATAGTTTAAGATATAGGATAGACATACCCTTTAAATATTTCAGTGGAATTGCAACAATATTGCAACCCCATTGGAGATAAATTTTGATTAAGCAAAATACAACTGCAGTACATAATAAATAAATAACAACATTGTTATTTATAATAACATAATAAAGTAATAACTACTGCAGAAGTACCCCTTCGACTGCATCCGTATGATGACAATAGGGCAAATCCTGAATTCAATAAATAATTGCCAATTTTGGGGAAGTGTTCCTATAAATATCTATGGAGATTCTCAATTATTTGAGAGTTGGACAAGAAGTGAAATGTCTTCAAAGAAAAAGATCTATCCAACATAAACAAACACCTTGTTTTGCAAGCCTCTCTTCCTGGAATCATGAAGCCTGGAAAAGACAAAGAAGGCAGACTTCTGGGGATTCTCCATAGATCACCCATCCCTTCTATTTTCACTGCCAACCAAGCATCCTTCCTTTCCTTTTCTGTCAGTTATTCTTGTACACATTTCCCTTGCCCCAACTTCTTTCAGTTTTACACTCATTGCACATGCCTTCAAAATAAAGAAAAGATGTCCCTGTCTTTGAGCACAGTGCAGCCCTGCACTCTTCAAGACATGCATTTTCCTAAATATGCAAGCAAGTATATGTTAGTCATATTCTGCAACTCTACACCAAGCAATAGCTCACTAAAGTAAGAGAAACAGCTGAAGCAATCTTGACCTGATCTTCCCATTACCAGCTAACCAGAGTGGAAGGAGAGTGCACTTAGGACACTCCATAGCACATGCAAAATTGGGATTCTTTATCTCTTTTTTGCATTAAAACTGGAGAAAACTTGATCCTGGTGTGATAGATGAGTCTGTCATCTGCACCTCTACAATTGTCTGGTTTGGCTCTGCAACCAAACAAGACAGACACAGACGTCAACGGATAATTAGAACTGCAGAAAAAACAATTGCTACCAACCTGCCTTCCATTGAGGACCTGTATACTGCACGAGTCAAAAAAGAGGGCTGTGAAAATATCTACAGACCCCTCACATCCTGAACATAAATTGTTTCAGCATCTACCCTCAAAACAATGCTATAGGGCACTACACACGAAAACAACTAGACTACAAGGACAGTTTTTTCCTGAATGCCATCACTCTACTAAACAACTAATTCCTACAACACTGTCAAATTATTTACTAAGACTGTATTATTATTATTCTTATCCTTCCTAGTACCTACCTCTTCCCACTTATGACTATAATGGTGTTGCTTGTATCTTTACAATTTATATTGTTTTATTTGTTTCCTAGTATGATTTGATTGCTTATTAGTAACCTATGACTATCACTAAGTGTTGAATCTTATGAGTCTTGATTAATACACTGAGAGCATATGCACCACCATATGGACATTCCTTCTGTGTCTAATCACATTTGGCCAATAAAGAATTCTATTATATTCTATTGAATGGAATTAGCCAACCACTAATTCATCTAGATAGGGCAGAACCACATTTGCAGAGTAATCTGGCTTGGGTGGGCAACTCCTCATATTGCAATTTGTTTGTTAGCACTCAGAGGGTCATGACATTGACTCCTAACTATCGTAACAATACCTTCCTTTAGGGTGGGCAGTTTGTTTTGCCCCTCATTCTGAAGGCTTATAGAATAGAATCATTTCCCCCCGGACAGATTAGTTACAATAAAACAAAATGTCAATCTGCTCAAAAGATTGAGTGACTAGTCCCAAGTCACTCAATAGATTTTCACGATTGAGGGTGGACTTGAATTTTGTTTGTTCTTAGTCACTGTGATTTATAAATCATTATTTATGGCTTATCATGTGTGAAACTAACTGTGATTTATTCAGTAAATTGTAATTATATAAACCATAGCTTAACGAAGATGCATGAACTAAGATTCAGACCTATTTAAAAAAGGAACTTTTTGGATATGACTATAGTAGTTCCACTGATTTTTATATATTTAGTCTGAACTTCACTGAATCTGAATTCAGTTGTTCTCTTTGCGTGCAAGAGTCTGTGCATGCATTCATCTGTAAACCTAATTTCACAAATACATGCTTCAGGAAACAAATATCAACAAAATAAGTGACCGTTTCTAATATTTCTTTGCTTTGCTTTATTCTGACAGAACAGTGAATATCTCTCAACTCTGTTGTTTCCAAAATTCCACAAAAGGTGCAGCAAATAGTATACCTTGTATTGCAAAATATAATGTACCTGCATATCAACGGAAGATGCACCTTGAAGTAATGTCCACTCATATCGTGTGATTCCATGGTCATCCACACTTTCTCTGCCATCCAGAATAACCCAGTCAACAGGTAATTGAAGAATAATATCTTCTCCTGCCTTGCTAAGAGGAGGCTCATCAGTTTCTAATTAAAATAAAGAATCTTAGTGAAAAAATGAGTATACATCACTTAAAGTTAAGATTATTGTCTTTGCCTGATTCACTTGTATTGTTTTAGTATGTTTTTAAATAAAAAAAATCTGTCCTAACAACAAAATATTTTCATCAATCTACTTCAGACTTTTAGTACAAGTTTATCGGACACAGATGAAAAACTTCTATATTTCGGGTTTATGAAGCCTATATAAAGTAGACTCTGAGATTTTAAATTAGATAACATTTTGCTTTCTATTTAACCATCTGCTAACAGGGACACAGACTCAAGCATATATTCATTGACACCGTTTGGTGACTTTATGGTCATGGTTTTGACATCTAGTCCTCCAATTCTGCAAAATGTTTTTTCCCTTGTGAAAAAGGTTTCTGCTTTTCCATTTGATACTCAGGATCAAGCTTTGGTTGAGAATTTATTTTGACATGGTTTTTGCCTACCTAGAGTTGCAATTTGGCCAATGCTTGGAAATGCTTGTTTGTTGTTGCTTGTTGTTGGTTCCCCCCTCCCCCATACTCCTCCATCATTATGCAGCCCCCTAGGCTGCCATTGCTTCCATTGCTTCTGAACTAAGAACATGAAACATGAATTATCTCTTATCTTTCTTTGGGGTTTCAATGAGTTGTGGAAAGCCTGGAGGCTGCACACGGATGGAGGGATAATTGCATGTCGAATGTCAGGCGCTGCTTCACATATCATTTGGCTGTATCGCTTGACTGTCTCATAATGTAAGTGCATGCACATTGAATCCCTCTTAAAAATGTTTCATCAAAAAGGAAATTTATATGTTTATTTTCTATACACTTAATTGGAATGTCTAAAAAGCTGCAATGGAAAACATTGGCAGATTTTTAATTGACTCAGTTAAGAATTTCAGGTGAAGAGGCCCATTGAGCATTTCTGGTCCACTGTGGATAATAGTTGGATAATATTTTATGCTCATTATTATCCTGCTCATTTTTGAGCCAGGCTAGTAAATGTAAGTTGCGATTTTGGTATGTAACTGAAAGCCTTTCTAAAAGGCAAGACAAAGGCATACATAATCATCGGTCACTTGGCTTGTCCAGAGCCCCAATTTGTAACCAGCAATAGAAATTTGAGTTAATTATCTCAGGCAACAGGGCTATAAAAATAAAATTCTAGTGTTTTGGAAAACAGCTGCAAGAATAATTTGAAAAATGGAAGGAACGAACTCAATGAATTGATTCTGGAACTGCAATGACACAATAACTAACATGTTAATTGAATCATGGTTTATTGAATAAACACAACTGACTAGTTAACTGTGGCCTCACACACAAATGAGGAAAATACATTTCACTTCTAACATGCTGAGTCAATCACTCAGGGTAAGGCAACTTCTTCAGTTTATTCCCTAATAATCACAGATTCATTTCCAGTCAGAAAAATAACACTATCACTCTTCAAAACTGAAACCTAGCTGTCCATGTTTAATGTGCAGTTGGCACACTAAACAACATATGTTAAGAAGAAACACAAATTATCACAGTGCAAAAAGATAAATTTGTGTTATGGAGTGGACTAGTTTGAAGTAGTTAGTCTACATATACCAAAATTAGATTCATATCTGACCATCTTTTGCCAGTCCCAAATCAATTTTGAAGTAAGAATAGACACACGGAGCACCACTCTTTAAGGATTCATAAAATCTGGAAAACAGGCCCAGAGTAAGGCAGCAAGGATGATCAGGGAACGAAAAAAAAACTAAAGGAATGGAAATGCAAAGCCTTCACAAAACGGAGAGTGAGGTGGGAAACAACAACCCTCCTGATGTCACAAAGAAGAAAGCAAAATCCTGTTCTGTACTATCCCATGATAATTACAAGAATGCACTTGAAGCAAAACTTCACAGAGGAAACAATCATCCATAGGGAGTGGGAGCTCTCTTTTATTGGATATAACCAAGCAGAGGGTACATCCCTTCTGGGAATACTTGGAACTGAATACCCACCAAAGAAAGCCATGGAATGGAAAAAGCAAACAGCCTGTGCAGCTATACAAATATGTGAAGTAGATGATGCTGGCATTTTTTTTAAAAAAAATTGTTAGCCACCCAGAGTTGCTTGCTGGGATGGGTGTCTATAGAAATCAGATAGATAGATGAGATGAATGATGGAGAGATGATAAGATAAGGGGGGGGAGAGAGGGAGAAGGCAGAGAGAGAGAGAGAGAGAGAGAGAGAATGACAATCAATCTTTGGGGGGCAAGGCGGGGAGTGAGTTATTTATTTATTTATTTGATTGATTTGATTGATTTGATTTGTCAATCGCTTACAAGATAATATATATAAGTATAAACATGAGTAAGAATACAGGGAATAGGTACGAATAAATGGGGACAGTAGGACAGGGACGGTAGGCAGGATGGTGCACTTATGCAGGCCCCTTACAGACCTCTTAGGAATGGGGTGAGGTCAATAGTGGATAGTTTGAGGTTAAAGGAGTGGGGGGGTTAATACCACATCACCTCTCCATTCTTATATACTAGTATTAACGGCATTTCTTCTGAAGAGCCTTCTGCTCACGTGCAATTCGCTCCCCTCCTCCCCTCCTTTTCTTCCCTGAACTGAAACTCTTTTCTTATTTTAGATTCCGATCAAGCAACCGGCGAAGTCTTAAGCCGACGGGCCGTTCTTCTTACCCAAAGGCGGAGAGTGGCGGGTGGGTTCCAGGAAGTAGCTGTTGTAGCCGCGCTGAGGGGAGAAGACACAGACCGCGCGGCCGCGGTAGGTGCAGTTGAAGAGATAGCAGCGGACCGAGGCCGGCTGCTGCTGCTGCTGCTGCTGCTGCTGCAAGACGGCGAGGGTGCAGAGGGCATCGGCGCAGCAGGCATCCAGGCAATGCCTGGGACCGTCCACCGAGCCCGGAGAGCCCAGGAACGTGGCCCCCGCCGCGATGGAGTCCTTGGTGCGGATGATGGAGTCGGACCTGACCGAGAAGAAACTCCCGCCGGTGCCGGCTGGTCCTTCAGTCCCTCTTCCTCGGCAGCGTCCGGCCACTTCCTCCAGCTCGGAGGGATCCCGCTCGAGCTGGAGCTGGCGGCGGAACTCCTCCAGCAGCGATTCCACCCCCGACGCCGACGCCGCCAGGGATCTCAGTTCTCCGCTTGACGGCTCCGGCGCCCCGAGAAGCAAAAGAAGCGGCGGGAAGAGCCAGAGGACGAGGAGGCCCGGGGGGCCGGCTACTTCCGCGGCCATAGCACCCAAGGGACGGTGCCCAGCCACCGGGAGCGGAGGACGATGGCGGCGCTGACGACGACAGAAGGAAGGAAGGAAGGAAGGAAGGAAGGAAGGGAAAAGCCTGGCTGCTACCAATGCGGTCCGGGAGAAGGAGAAGAAGCGGGTGTCGGCGGCCGCGCCATGCTGGCCCCTCCCTGCACCAGCCCGCCGAGGACGGAGAGCAAAGGCAAGCGGCTTCAGTCAGCACCACCGATCCCCGAACAGTTCCAAGCGGGAGGCCGCCCCGCCCACGCTCCGTGGGCGGAGGGGAGGAGCTCTGGGGATGCCCCGCCTAGCTCTCTCCGGTCGGGGGTGGGGGTGGGGGGCGGGCAGTCGCTCCTTGCTACGTTGGGTTGCTGACGTTCAGAAGGTGGGATTGTCCGGATGGAGGTGGGGGGTGCCCGTTCCGGGTAAGGTCTGAGGAAGCTCCTGATGCCGCGCTTCGACTGAAGCAGGACACCTGATGGAAGCAGAACTCTGTATCTGCGGTGGCCTATAGCCTCATCGGCTCAGGTTGATCATGACGGAGGAGGAAGAGAAGGAGAAGAAAAAGGAGGAAGAGGAGGAGGAGGAGGATGTTTCAGCTGCTAATTTTTTTTTAATTTTGAGGTGTATTACAGCAGGGGTCCCCAAACTTATAATATTATTATCTTATAATATTACATTAATATTATTATATTACATTACATTACATTACATTATATTTATTATATTATATTATATTATATTATATTATATTATATTATATTATA